AAGGATATAGCCTGGGGCAGCATGAAGTCTGCTGGGGTTGCTTGGACCCCTAGTCAAATGCCCAAGTTATTTACCTGAACTGATTATTTTGTCATGAGCTGCAAGAGAAATTCCTAAAGTGATTTAAAACTTTCTGTGTGAAATGCAATTATACCTTATGACAGCAGCAAAGGTGCCCTTGAGACCTTTTTTCTCTTTGCCTCTCTGCTTTAGAAAGTCATAACACTACATGTTGGCAGAGAAGTAAAGTCAAAACATTTCTGAGCTGTACTATGGTAGAGTATTCTGCAGGAAGAGATCATTTTGACTTGACCTATTTTCAACTGAAGAGCTTGGGTGTGCCATTCTATTTCAACTATTAATTACTCAAAGACAACTTAGCTACCAGTGAAAGAGGAAAAAAAAAAAACCGATCATGAGTATTGAAATCTAAGTGAATTTTAATGAAAAATTATAACAAGATAATAAATTCTATGGTAACTCCACAAACCTCTCAAAGGTTTGAACCAAGCAAACAAGGACTCTTTTCAGGACTTAATAGAAGTGTCCCAATTTATGTATAAAATGAAATTTGGCACAATTGGGCCTGAATTGCACACTGTCTTTGTGGATCTGCAGTTCTGTGTTCACACACAGCTAAAATATCTTATCTTTCCAAATGTGAAAATGAGCAACTTATAAAATACGCTGTTCATTACACATGTATTCCCCTAGCCTTAAAAGTTAGCCATTACCTTTTGTTGGAAATACTGAAAACTGCAAAATACCCCATGAAAAATGACTGAAAACATATCTGTTATAACAGCCAGTGGAGGAATGTTAAGGTTATTTAATTTTTTTATCAGGATCATGTATATCTCCCTTTCCCAAAGCTCATCTGCATTTCTCCCTGTTCAGTACAAAAAGTAAGATCAAGAAGGATTGAAAAGGGGTGCTAGAAAACTGCATATAGAGAGAACAAATGGATTATTATTATGGACAGAAAAACTATTTATTCATCCGGCAGCTGGGAAGTTCCATGAAGGCCCTGGAAGAGGGGGCTGGCCTGAGCAACAAGGCAGTCATTAGGTAAGAGGAGGTGGCACAGCTTCCTGGGAACTGTCAGAGCCACAGCAGAGGTGCCTGGGAGATGTCTGATGCGTGATCTTGAGCTCAGGTCCCATTGAGGAACACTCCCTAAGTACATCATTATCATTATTATTCGAATCTCTTCATCATCATCAAATAATGGATGTCTTAATTTTATCATTATTTCTCCTTAATTTTTCGCTTACCCATCATGCTCCATTACATGATAAATTTGGAAAGGTCACAGTAGTAATGACTTTTAAGAAAGTGTGTATATTCTTTTGAGCATCACTTCTCAAGATCCTCGGGGAAAATGAAGGGTCACCTATTTTTTAAAATTGCAATGATTTTAATACAAGAAGACAGATACTAGAAATCAAATCACTAATTAGGGACTTATATTCACATCTAATACATCCCTTTCCTCACACTGTTCCTCCTTATTTTGCTCAGAGGCACTTTCTGACACCAGAAATAGCACATTACTGATCACATGGTGTGAGTGGACCTTTTATCCAATTGTAATATGCAACAGAGGATTAGATGTACTAGCCTGAGTTTCAGTGTCCAAGGAGACTTAGGTGCACTATCTGAGCAACAAAAAATGTGAAAGAAAGTAGCGTAAAGCTCACGAGCTGCAGGGAAGCAAGGATATTTTCCTTCAGCAAAGATTGTGACTTGTAACCTCATCTATGGATTTCAAACAATTGGTTCTCTAGATCTGTAAGTGATACAGGTTTAGACTTGACTAAAATTTGGCTCTTAGTAGCAATGCAGCATATTTCTGTTTTCTCTGAGAGCCATCTTCAAATTTTGTGAAATGAGTGGAGATTCACTCAATCTCACTGTGATCTCATCCATAACCACACCTTCTTGAACACTAGTTATTAGTATCTTGACTTCTATGTCAATAAAAAATGAATTTCTGGTGCATAAAAACAAGGTTAATCTCTGAAGCTGCCACACCATTAGGCTATCCAGATAATAAACCCTGTTTCTTAGTGCAATATGTCCCCATGCACAGTTACACCAGCCAGAAAGCACTTCCATGTTGGTGTTCCCGTGCTGTTCTGTGGATCCACAACAGCAGGATTCTCCCAGTGATCACCTCCTCAGCAGCAAACCCATGGCTACAGAGAAACTCCATATCTCCTGAGTGAATGCTTAATACCTGCCTGCATGTAACACGGAAAGAGCAGGGTTCTGTCAGCACCACCATGGTGAAAGGAAGGCAGTCAGAGCTGTCATTAAAAATCTGTTTGGGGTGGCTGCATGGGTGGAAGTTTGAACAATGGGAACTTGACAGGGATGTGTGATGGGAATAAAAGACACTGAGAGATGTCTCAAACTACTGCAAAACTACATTAACTATATAATTATAAAGGACTGATGCACTGAAAGTGCAGGCTGACCTTGCCCAGCTGCTTGGCTGTGTGCTGCCTTTTTGAGACCTGACCCTTGGGGAAGCTGCCCCAGGCACAAACAGTCATACTGCCAAGGGCCAAAAGAGCCTTCCATAAGGAGAGAACAGGGAAAATGGGATCTCCTCTACCTGCCTCCTCCAGCTTCACCCCAGTATCACTTGGTCTCAGGCAGTTTAGTGCTTTAGTTTTGTCAGTGACTCTCGATGTCTGCCTGGCATGTTATGAGCCCAGTAACACTCCAGCTTAAACAGTACATCTCTCTCCTCCTGGAGGACAGCACAGGAAGAAGGACAGCAGCATTCCTCATGCCATCCCATCCGAGGCAGTTCCTGCAGCTGGAAAGAAATTCACTATTTTCCTCAGTGATTTACCACCTCAGGTCAGTGCAGTAGGCAATGCCAAAGACAAAACTATTTTTCTAGATTTCCAGGATCATGAAAGTGACTCAGGGACTGCTTGAGAGTTAATTTAAAGATGTGCTCTGTAGGATGAGTTTTAAAGCTGACTCAGAGGCTGATGGTTCCACAATACTCTGCAGAGATTTATGACAGTTGGAAGCTAACACTACAACTGCAGTCAACCAACAACATTTTCGAATCTTTGGGGCATTTCCCAGAGCAAAAAGACTTATACATAGAGAGCTAAAAATTATGCCATATGTTCTGTGTATTTTTAAGGGGCGGGAGTAAATACTGTGCTGTGGTACCTCACATCTGCAATAGAGAACTGTGAAAAATGCAGACCAGATAATTTCTGTGTTGGCAGGCACCAGCCTTCCGTGACAATTCTCAGCTAAGCATGAAGACCAGGAAAGATGAGTGCCAGGAAGATGAACAACTTCTTTTCCTGAGGTGTTAAATTTACAAGAAAGCGTGAGAACAACTACAGAGGTGCCAAGAACACCAGTGATGCATTGTATGGGGGTGTTACTATTGTTCCTGTTCTGAAAGGAGGAACAGGCAAAAGGATGGGTTTCACCTTCTTGAGCAAAGCACATTTCTCAGTGTCAGTTAAAAACAATTATTTTCACTGCTAATACACAGCAGCACAGCAGAGGAGAGCTGCAGGTTAATGCTGCACATTAGCTATCATTTTGGTTTGATTATTAAAAAGTATCTATCCCAAATCTGACCAAGCGCCTCCCCTTCAGCATGGCTCATCACATCTCCATGTGTTAAGACAATGCCAAAATGTATCTGTTATCAATATTATATAACCTGCTCCAGTGATCATAGCGCAATCAGATTATCTCTCAGTCAAGGAGCTCAGTCAAAATGCTCAGAGAATTAAGCAAGACAGATGCTGCTGTTGAGAAGTTTTCATAAGAATTGTAAAAGGTAAGGGGAAAAAGTTACTGATTTTCTTCAGCATTAACACTTTTCAAATGGAATGTTCTATTTACTTCAATGTCAGCTCAAACTCGACATTGGAAATGAAGCCCTGGTCCTGGGGAAGGCAACAGAACTTTTTCCTTCTGATTTCAAGGAGGTTTCACAACTTGCTTGAGATTTCCCCCTCAAACTTCAAGAGTAGATTCTTTCATTGTTTAAGAAATTTAGGTTAGATGAAGCAGGACAAGAATGATCTCAGGCTGTGGCAAAACTTGAATATATTTGGCTGTTACATTTAACTCTTCCCTTGTCCCAGCTCCATGAGAATATATTGGTGCTGTTGATAAATATTAAGGGTGGGCTCCAGCATATGCTGAGCAAGAAAAGATGAAGGGTGTTTCTTTGCTTTGTAATGGACACAATGAGGAAAGAATACAGAACAACCTCCAACATGTAATCCAATTTAAAAATTTTTCATAAACTATGTATATTTTTTTCAGATTTCCAACTGCAAAACAATTTAGAACTTCCAGATCTGCCATTATCAAACTTTAGAGTCAGAATTGTCAATGCAAAAACATTAGGAGGCTCACTTTTGAGTACTGACAATGGCATTTACAGGAATGGGAGACCTGAACTGGATGTAGATATTTTAGAATATGCCTTGGTGCTCATGAGACAAAATTCACTATGTATTTTGGCATGTAGCTGAACTGTGAATTCAACAGTAAGGATGTAGATGTCCACAAAAATAGTAATTGCAATGATATTTAGTTTCAAGGGGATCTACCATGAAAATGGTATTTAAAAATGGTCTCCTTTATTTTGTTTTCAAGGTCATGAAATCCCTTTGTCTCCTTGTCCATTTTTCCCCCCACTCCTTAACCTCAACAAATGTTTGAGCATTCCTCTTGTAAAGGTTTTTGGCAACTAACTCTGAAGGATACACACTAATACCCAGTGTGCCCTCAGAAGAACACAAGCAATTTCAGTAAGCAAACATTTTACCATTTTCCTGTTCTTCCTATCTAGCAATATGCTGTTTGCAAACAGTAGTATTGTTTGGACAAGCTTTCAAGGTCCTTAAAGATACATCTATAAGACAGGTAGTCACAATGGTCAAGAATATCTGATGGACCTTGAAGAAAATACACTTTAAAAATAATGTATGTCTTACCTGCTTATTCATAAGTATGTAGATAATGGGATTGCAAACAGTGCTGCTTTTTGCTAGGATGGAAGGTATGACACTTGTAACTGGAGTCACAGCACCTGGCTTGCCAAATGTTGCAAGTAATGCTATAACCCCATACGGAATCCAGCACACCAGGAAACAGATAACTGTAGTGATCACCATGAACAGGACGTGGTATTCTCTTTTGCGGGCAGCATTCTTGTGGATTTTCCCAACCTAAGGAGAGGTTTAAAAAGAGAGAAAATTTAACGAGCAGAGCTGTTGGATTGACTGCATGAGCAAGCTGGGACTATTGGTCTTGGATCAGCAATAACAATCAACACAGTAGTTCCAGAAGCAAAACAAATGCAAACCCAAAAGTGATTGAATGCAGTGAAAAGACTTTCACCATCTCCATCAGGCACTAGGGGAAGCTTTGCAGAGACCACAATGCATGCCAGCACAAACCAGAGTCCCAGCAGAGGTTGGAGCAAATACAGAAAGGTGTCAAAGCCTTTAGTCCTAAAGAGATGTTAAGTCATCTGCAGTTGCTTTTAAGGTACGGAATTTTGTGTAAATGTACCATGTTTTCATTCAAATTATGCTGGTACGCAGAACTTGCTTGAGATGAAGGAGCTTTACATAGCACATCTGAACCACCAGAAGTATTTTCTGTAAAGGGTGTGGAAATACCAGAGCAACACTGGGACTGTGCTTGGTATCTCTGTCCTTGGATCTTTTCAACCCTAGATAAAGCCTCAGCTGGCCTGGCATAGTGTTAGCCATGGTCATACTTGGAGTGGGAGACCAGAGAAGCCTGGCTGAATCACTTGATCAAGTTTTAAATTGTAGGATTTATTCCTTCTAGACTATTTATTCCAGATACTTAACCATTTTGGTAAATGGGTTTCACTCCTGATAATGATCAGGAACAGATTTTTGTACTCTTAAAAAAGTGTGCTGAATGCTGATTCATTGTGGTTCATTGGTTTTTTTGGGGAAATGGAGCAGAACTGGCTAAACAAGAAAAGCAGAGGTAAATGGACAGTTTCAAAGTGATGGTACGAGAATCTATCTTGCAACCATGAATTTGCTAGTAGTTACAGTGTGTGGGCAAATCTGCTGTGGAAGTATTTATAATCTGTGTTTCGAAATTTATTCTCCTTTAACCTATTCTGGACTGAAGCATCATGCCCTTTGGGAGTCTAGAGATCTAAGATAAAGCTTTAACATTAAAATAACAGCCAACTTTTATTTTTAAGCCTTAGTGTGAATATATTTTTCTGTAGAGAGCTACAGAATGCTCTTACAGTATTTGGGCAGCTGAGTGCATTGGTGGCAACAGTGAGGAATGCTCATTCTCTAAAAAACAAAAGCAAACTCTGCAAGGAGGTTAATTTTAGAGACTCTCTCTCCACTGACTCTAGATGGAAACTCAGCTCACTGGTCTCCTGAGGTTATAGTTGATTCCTCAGCTTTACCCCAGCGTGTGTTTAGCAAACCCAGATGTGCCAGCAGGACTTGAGGAACTATTCAAATGTTTAAACTATATTGATTGAGCCTTGTACTCAGCCAAATCTAATTTATGTCCACTTGAAGGTCTTTTTGCCTCTCGAATGCAGCACTTGATAGTAAATTGCGCCCAGGGGAATTAAGCCCATGTAAAACCACAAATACAAATAAGCAAAAAAGCTGCTCTGTGAAATGGAAAACATCCAAACTTTACTTAGTCTAATAATAAAAAATAAGTTTTAAATCAATAGGTTTAAACTGATTCAAGTAAATTAATAGAGCACAGTTAAAGGTGGAAGTCACCAACCATCCCAGTCAAATGTTATTTGCTGTTGCCTGACACATACCTTGTGCATGCCAAGAAAATAGAGCTTTTTGTACCTCTTCGTAGTGTGGGTCTTTTTGCATAATATATGTGTTTATGTATCAGATTGAGAGTTAAACACATATATAGTGCTTGTATGAGGCAAAGTAATATGGTTACAGTTTCTTTTTAATTCATTATGACTCCAGGCTTCTAGAGCGCTTGGTTCTATATGGAGTTTCAATAGAAATGTTCCTGTAAATGAAACACACACTAACTTTTCCTGTCCAAAACTAGTAAGTATTTTTCCTGACTATTTTTAATGATTTTCCACAAAAAGGCAATAACAAAATAAAGTCTCTCCTTTCTGAGAAGACTTAGGACTACATTTTTTATAAGACTTCAACCTGTTTATTTTATAATTACTTTAGCTTGAAGAAAAGATTAATAATAGATAATGGTCCAATCCTGTATTACTTATTTGAACTAAATTTTTAATGACTAATGGGAAATTTCCCTGACTGATGAATCCAAGACCTCATGTGAGCTGCTGCTATGCTACAAATTAAATATTAACCCAGGAATGCAAAGCCCCAGTTAGCCATGGCATCCACAGCTGAAGATCTTCAATAAACACAGAAGGATCAGGCAACACATTTTTGCTCTGTGTTTAGATGCATATCTTGAAGAGTTTGTAAGAGTTTACTGTCTGCACAGACAAAACAGAGACCATAAATGAAGGAAGGAAAGATGTCTAAAAGTAGAGTGGCTATGGATATGATTTTGGCATGTATCCTTCCACTTTCACATCTTTAGGTCATTTCCATAGGAAGGGAAGTTTTGAAATCTTGTACCATATTTGTCCTCACACTTTTGGTTTCGTTGTCTTTGCAGTTTTGCAGCCTACCTTTAGAAGGTGTTACCTTTAAAATTTGTCTGTTTATAGGTACTGGAAGGCCTCCAGCAAGATGTAACTTGGGTTCATGTAACCTACAGAAAGATTACACTTCTGCAGGTGAAAAAGCAGTAGACATTTTAAAATTAAAATAATTCTATTTTTTATTTTAAAACTACTGGAAAATTTATGCAATTGCTGCACTGTATTTTCAGTAGTCAAATGGAAATGCCTCCCTGGATATCCAGCTGATAGAAGAGCATCAGATAGTGATGACAAAAAAATAGATTTGAATAATATTCTAGAATAGCTGAGCTTGTGAATCTCTGTCTAAATGCAAACATACAGGGTATATATATGAATTTAAAATACTTAGAAGATCTAACCCACACTTTAAAGTGGCACAAGAAATACAAGCCAAAAATTGGGATCAGATTGTACTTATGTAGGATTTGCTATAAATTCAGCTGTTTTCTCCGGAACAAAGATCATCTCCGGCCATATTTAGCAATATAAAGGTTGGGAAACCACTATATTTAAAGAAAAGAAGATTGGGGAATTGGTTGTAGAGGGGTTTTTAATGAGGAAATTGTGTTTCTCCCCTGCTTTCATCCTGGGAAATAACAGAAATGTTTTGATTTTTCAGAACTCAGCTGGAGGCAGCGAGAGGCAAGCTTGTCTAATCTCAGGCACTGAGCGTAACAGTGGCACAATTAGCTCTGGTCTGGATTTGCCCTGCAGCCATGCTGCATCTCACATATACCCAACACGTTTTTCAAGTCAATCTGACACAAAAAATACCACTACTTCGATCACTAGGGCAGCATGCTGAGCACATACATTAGATGTGACAGGCCACAGGGTGAGGGAGAAGCCAGGGTGGCATCAGTGAGGAGGCTGGCATGGTAGAAGTGTCCTCAGAAGGAGGACAAGTGACACATTGATTGGTTGACCTCAAAAGCTGCATCTGCAGCTGGCAAGATGTAGCAGATACATTACTCACCAAGTGATGGGCTGCATTGCTATTCCATGTTTTGGAAAAGATGAAATTGGGGAGCTCTGAGCAGAGCATAGAAAATTTCAATAGCACTGGTGAAAGTCTGGAAAGGTCGTAAACCAAAGGGGACCTTACAATGTAGTATGGAGGACGTTAGTAAAAAGACATGCAAAGAGCTTTTGCTATAAATGTGGAGATTGTTAGGTTGGAGATTAAAGAAAAGGATTCAAAATGTCTGTTATGACAGGTACTTTGCCAGGAGAGAGAAAAGCCTTTAAACTGGATGCAGGCAAATGTGTGGGCCTGTCGTCACAAGGACCCACAGAAAAGGTATGACCTAGGGGAAGCTTGACTTCCTCTAAGGAGAACAAGTCTGTCTTTTCCTTAAAGAGAAAAGAGAATGGGTCTGTCCTTCCAGAAAACAAGTAAACCTTCCAAACACATAAACACTGTTGTACTGTGGTATGGGATATGATAATAGGACTGTGGGTCATAGGAAATTATTTTAAGGTAGCAGGTTCTGGTTACCCAATCTAGACATTGTGGCTGTCAGGCAAGACCTCATCACTGTCCAAGTCAACGGGTTCAGTCAGCCTGTTCCTGGAGGGAGCAACCATTTGGCAACCACAGCTGACTCCATGGGTTTTGGCAGGCCAAACACTGCAGCTTTCATGCCCAGACAAAAGAAGACAGCAGCTACCTGCCTCTGGTCAGGGATTTTCTGCTTTAAATATTTTTTTCAACCATCAAACAGCTTCATATGGAGAAAAGCCCTGAGCAGCTCCTTACCCAAGGGGACAGCCTGCCCCTTCCTGTGCTCCAAAGCCAAAAGTTTGACCTACTGCAGCCCCTTGCTCAGCTCCCTCTGGATTTATCTGGGTATGAGTTATGGAACCAAGGCAATACTGGTCACACTTACACCCACTCAGAAGAAGGTGTCAGGAAAGATCTGAATGGTTGTTCACAGAGATTGGAGGCAGCTGCAAGGCCCACAGTGCCAGAGGCACATATACAGTCAGTCCATCATATTCCCATCACCCATGGGCAAGCTGGGGTCTTTTACACATGTAAGGCAAGGGAGCTGGGCCAAAGTTAGCTGTTAAGAGGGCGAAGCTTCAGTGATGAAGATCTAACCTGACTGTTTTGAATTCCCTTGTGTTTTCTTTGTCACATTTACTCTAGTCTCTCCTCCTTTCTTAATGTAGCTACGTGCTTTTTCTCAAAAAGCATTTCCTTCATATTTTAATTGCACCCATTTTCAGCTGGGAACATCTTGAAAGGTTGTGAAGAATATATGGCACCCCATCCATCTAACCACTAGATTGAGAGAATATGCACCATCCAGAGCCGCTTCAAGCAGGGGACATGTACATCATAACATCTTAGAAGCCAGGGATCCTGTTTGTGTGTTTTGTTCTTCAAGTCACTTTCTCTTTCTCCAGCTATTTATTAAGACAGAAAATAGTATCAGTTACTATACTCTGTGTACCTAAATAGTGGGTGTTGTAAACATCCTTTATGTAGCTCAC